ACATTTTATCGGTTTCATTGCTGACTTAGACACCTAGTCATTAAATTAGCTGATAAGATGAATACGATGATTTATATAATGCCACATTTACTGTAAAATTTGATACCCATCTCATCGGCTCATTTATGACTATGTATCTATGTCAGCAATGAAACCAATAAAATGTGTGATTCCAAGAAAAAATGGCAGAAAATGAGTTGATGTCTGATGCGATGGATATATTGAGTTACATAAGATTAGATAGACAATTTAATATTTCTTATAAACGTAAAAAATAACACAGTTGTTGTTAGTTTATGTAATTATTGTAGTCTTCGTTGGATGCATTTTATGTTCCAAAAAGATATACAATACATCAGGATATCAAGTTTTATGCTAAGCATAACATTATATAACTCAACATATTCATCTCATCATCTCATTTAATGACTAGGTGTCCGGGTCAGCAATAAAACCTGTAAAATGTATGTTACATAGAGAAAAGAGCCAAATCATCAGTAAATTTTATTTTGGCACTTATTCGCAAATTACGGTAAAATAATGGGACTTTAGTGAAACAGGTAAGTAATAAAACCGGTAAACCGGAAAAATGGGTCAAATCGTCATTTTTACCGGTAATTCATGCTTTTTCGTAAACAAAATTTAGTTTGAGACTTTTTCGTAGATTAGGGTAAAGTTTTAGGACTTTTCTGGAGATTTCCCGAAAAACAATAGCAAGAGTTAGTATGCCTAAATGTTTCGGTTGTATGATACGAAATCGTAAAAGATTATATATTTTAGGACTACATTACAAATGTATTTTAATTATTTTAATCTATTGTTTTATTGATTAGGTTTTTTTAATAATTTAACTTTTATATATATTTTTGTCAAACTAAAAATAGATGATTTACGATAAAAACTATTAGACTAGAAGGAATGGTGTCATGTATGTTACATTGTCCCGTCACTACTTAACATGCTAGCTCAACTTTGTCACACTGCAAATTGAATTTTGACTTTCTCTATCATCTAAAAAGAGTTGCCGAGCTTGGTGTCATGTCATGGTCCAAAGACGATTTTCCAACGACATTCCACATTCCACATAAGCATGTTGATGGGCGGCACCGAGCCACCCCTCTGGCTTTCAGCCATCAACGGTTAAATAATTATGGAAAAAATATAAATATTTAATTACCGAAACTTTTGAGATTATTAAGTGTTAAAATGATTAAAATTATTGTTTTATTTTGTTTTTGTTTTTGTTTTATTTTTTATTTTATTATTATTATTATTATTTTGTATTTTATAGTATTGTTATTTATGTATAAGAAACTAAACAAACTTTATTGGTTGGATATATTTATTTTCTAATATCTAAAACTTTAGCATTCATAATAGGTTATTGAAATTTAGGTCGTCGACTTTAATGGAAGAAAAATCTATCCATCCAATTAATTTGTATATATCAATAATATAGTGCTTTAGCATCTATTGCTTGAAATCGTGAACTTGAAATCGGGAAAAGGGGCTGGCCTGAATTTATTCGCTTCATTTCTTTCCCACTCTACTCTACTCTATATAGGACAACAAATCGTCCAGGCTTTTATTACAACGTGTTTCAATTTTCAATGGTTAAAGGTATCATCATTTAACTTTTTACTTTTCATTAACTAATTATTTAGTACCCATGTCATATTAAATCTGTAACTTTTAGCTACAAATATACAGAAAAATATATGTATATATTTAATTAGTTATCAAATTAACTATCTTAATAATAATCAAAACATTATCATTTTAACTTCTTCTATTTTAAAAACTTTTTAATAACTATATTTTTACATAGGTCAGTCACCCTTTTGGTGTTAGGTTTGCATGTGCTCGTCTCATAGCATCGTGGCTCAACTGTTTCAGCTTCACCGGACACCAACGTTTTAATAATCTGACGTCCGTCCAATTCCACTTCAAAGTAACAGCTCACCGCCCCTTTTTCCTTTATATACACACACCACTCCAAACTCAAACACCATTTAACACCTCCCCCAAAAAACCATGACCACCACCCTCTCCTCCGAACCACCTCCGGTCACCTCCAGTCCCCGGATTTCCTTCTCCGCCGACTTCCTCGACGATGCAAACTTCATCTGCATTACACCACACGACAAAGAGAAAGATAAAGAGAAAGAGAGAGAAAAGGAAAAAACAAGGAACGTCGGCGAGTTTGAGTTTCTCTCCGGTGATACAAACACTCCGACGACAATGCTGACGGCGGACCAGCTGTTCTTCGAAGGGAGGCTACTACCTTTCCGACAGAAGCAATTTTGCGAGACGCTAGCGAAAATCAACCTGAAAACGGAAGGGAAACCGGAAGAGGTGAAAGAAGATAGTAGTAACAGTAACAGAATGAGTTGGTTTATCGATGAAGATCCGTCTCCGAGACCACCGAAATGTACGGTTTTATGGAAGGAGTTGTTACGGTTGAAGAAACAACGTCCGTCTTCTCTCTCGCCCTCTTCCTCTTCTTCTTCGTCTTCTTCGGCTTCCTCCATTGATGATGATTCGAAGAAAGAGAAACATCAGGTGAAGAAGGTTAAAAAGGGGCTAGAGAGAACCAGATCGGCGGGGATTAAAATCAGACCGATGATTAACGTTCCGATTTGCAGTCAAGGAGGAGGGCGGAGCAACTCTCTGCCGCCTCTTTTTGCGCTGAGGAAAAGTGGAAGCGGAGTACTGGACAGGTAGGGATAATTTTAGGTATTAATTTACTGCCTTTCGTTTATGTGTTTGGATTTTGATTGATTAATTTGGGTGTAATTTGGTTTTGATGATTCCTATTTTTCTAGTGCATAATCTTCGTATTAATGTAAATGCAGAACTATAATTAATGTCTTTTTTAATGCATTTTTTTTTTCAAGATCCAATCAGTCAGTGTTTACTTACATTAATCAATTCACAATGTGTATTAAATAATCCAAAAAAATCGATTAACAAGCTTCATAACTTATTAACACAGCTTGTGCTTGGGTAAAGAAAAAAGAATCTTGTACATTTCTTCCAAGTACATATTTTTCAAGCAATTGGTGGGACCAAAAGTTGATTACCAGGTAAAAACCTGAAAAAAAAAACAGATGATATCAGTAGGTTGAAGATGTTCATAAACAAAAAGATTCCGATAGATTTATTATTTAGAGAATCGATTCACGTTAGTTTTGAGGTTTGGAGTTATGCTGGGTTGATGGAATCGTGAAGAAAATAAATAATTCTATTTCACTGAAATGAAAAAGAAGTTTGTTTTTTCTAAAGGAATGGAATATATAATATCTGATTTTTTTTAGTTTGTTAATTTTGATTCCCTAGCTAAGATGTTTCTATAAATTCAATGTAGCCTAGTTTTTATTTACGTCCATAACAACAATCTTTTAAAAGTTTCAAGCTTTTTAACTCGATTATAATTTTATTTTTTTAAATAACTAGAAAATATCTTTTTTATTATAGTCTGAGACTTTAACGAACCTTTACTAATTTTATTTCTTATATTTTATAAATAAAAAGTTAATAAACTTTACACTTTATTTATTTTATTTTTTATTAATATAAAGTTTGACAAATTTTGCGAAGGGTTAGTGTAATAACCAACGAACCATTTAATTTTTTAAAAATATCATAGTTCAAAAAAATGATATACGAAAGTAAGAAACTGAAATATTATGTAACAAAATAGAGTTTTGATATATATAGAAAAAGTAAATAAATCATTGTCTATTTATTATACTAACACCCTTTTAGTAAATAGGGTATACTCGTATAAAGTTGAATCAAACAATTATAGTATTATAATATGACAACTTGTAAGTCGTCATTACAAACTAAACATGATCTTAGAATCTAATAATACATTTCATTATCTTGTTTATATTCTGTTCTTTTTCTATTAGTTATCTTTTTCATTTTATTCCTTTAAAATACCATTCCATGCAACCGAGTTAACATATGTTCAATTTTAACCCTGTATCCAAAAACCATACCTGAAGTTCAAACCGGGTTTCGTTGTGAGTCCGCGTGGAACTTGACCACTGAAATTATTATTTTCCAAGAACCTAAAATAATAAAGAAACATATATTAGAAAATAGAAACAATTAACATTAAATAAATTATTTGTTAAAAAATAAAAAGCACAAAAGAAGACGATTGCAATATGACCCACAATAAAAGCAAATTGATGTAACATTAACTTCATACGGATGGTAGTACTATAAGAGATAAACTTACAGTTCACGCAGCCTGTCAATATTTTCCAAAGACGAGGGGATCGGTCCATTGAGATGATTGTCCTCCAAATGTCTGTTTCAAAGAGAAAAAAGGGTAAAAAATAAAACTCATTCATTTGTACCATATGGATATATTCGATGAATGATTATAATGGGCTCCATTTTTTTAACTTCAACCCTTCTCAATATCAATCAATTTTCTCATAAATTCACGCTAAACCCATATAAACGTACTTGTACTTTTCATCATGATTTTACGTTCAAATGTAACTTGTGGCTAATCTAAAATACCAGCAATAATACTCAAAGACATTGATTGATTTTAATTCTTGCATACTTCTTGTCTCGTTGACATTAAAAAAACTAAACCTAAAAATAATGAAGAATATGTTGTAGTTATTAGGCTATTTTTTATGTCTTCTTTTGAAGAGTGTCTTGCAAAAACTTACATGGTTTTTAACATCTTCAAGGTACTAAAATCAGGAATAGATCCCGACAGGCTATTGTTTCCAAGCCATCTGCCATAACCAAAATTAAAAAAATAATAATAAAAAATTAAACTCGTACGTTTTGGATATTGGTCTTTAGAAATAGGGGAGGATTTTTATAGATACATGAGGGGCTTACAAGTCATTTAACGCAGTCAAGTTTACAATGTTGGGAGAGAGAGATCCGGAAAGGTTGATGCTTGTAAGGTTTCTGAAAAGAAAGAGAAAAGACAAGGAGTCAAACTACACGATTTTACAGATTACATGTTGTTATTGACTTATTATGAGTAGAATCTATAATGATGTGATGGACTCACATTCCAGTCACACGAACATTAGATCCATTAGAGCATGTAATTCCAGTCCATGCGTTCTCCCGGGGTAAACAGGGATCGCCATTCCAATCAAATGGAGGATTTTGAAATCCGTCCTTCAAACTCTTCAATCCAATCACTATAAAACAAGAAATTAAAATAAACTTGTATTCTTTCAGCAGTATGCCAAGAAGATAATGAAATTAGGGCAAAGAACCAGACCATCTCTCGTTTGAGTTCTTCCACCAAATGGTAGCACTTCAAAGATTTCTCCACCGTTAATCAAAGGGGCAAGAGTAGAACCAGGAGCAGGAGTTAGTATGATCTTTGTAGGACCAGAAAGCTGCCATCGGTTAGCAAACAAAGCAACGCCTGTCTGAGGAACCTTTAGATCACTATAATATGTAATACCGTTAATGGTGATGTTGAAAACCCTAGAAGTCCCGGTGTCATCTGCAAAGTAGAGAGCGATGTAGTAGGTCGAGAGCTGGAGAGGTGAAAGAGGCCATTGAAGCTCCAAGGGTTGTGGTTGGCCGACTGTGAACTGTGTCTCAAACACTTTCCGTGGAGGGAGGTTCCAGAAACCAGTAATGGATACGTTTTCTCCCCTTGAAGATGTTGGATTGTTTACACCATATGGCTCCCAATAACGATCAAATTGATCATCCGGGTATCTGAAGTTACAATCAATCTGTTAGATTTAGTATGTATGCTACAAAAATCTTCACATAATTATGATAATTTCATGGCATCACAATCAAAAGCATGTAACTGGATCTATCGGAGTCGTTTTTATTCTTATTTGATAAGTTATCAATCTACTTTTCAATTCAGAATGAAGACAACCAAGACTAGAACATCTAGTTTAATTACTGGAATTGATTGATGAGAATTGGTGGCCATACCTTATTATGGGTCCATTGTATCCAAAGCTATGCCTCGCAACCAATCTAAGACTAAAATTCCCAAAATCCGTCGAATTATACAAGGAATCAGCCAATAATACGAATTCCAAAGCGGATATAAAGGGATCAGACTCAGTATACGTATTGGAAGCGAGGCAGAGGCTCATTGACTTCCCGCCTGCACGGAATACCCCTTCGTAATACGACGCTGATCGATTGGCGTAATCTTCAGTCGTATTCACCACACTCCAGAAGGTTCCATCAACAATCTGATCAAACACCGGAGGCGAAGCTTGATTGTTCACTCCGCCATAGTAATACGTCGTCCGAACAAGATACTTGGCGGTGCGGTAAACCGGCACGACGTAGCAAAATTTTCTGCGGCGTGAGTTGTTATCAAGGAGGGGAAACGATCGAAGGGTGGAGAGAGTATGAGAGAGGTTCGTTTGCGTGAGGGGTTTGGAGGTGCCGGTGGAAATATAAGCGGTGTCTGGAACCCATTGTCGATTGTCGATCACAGAAGCGACGGTGGCGCCGCAGTCGATGAGTAGAGCCCTGGGTGGTTGGGAGAGGGAAAAGGGGATGAGAGAGAGGGTGAGGAGAAGAGGGAAAAGGTAGAGGAGCATGGTTGAATTTGATGAAGATTGAAGAGTTGCAGGGTCATCATAGGTTTTTGATTGTGATGGAGTGGGAAGAATGAGAAATGTAGTGGAGTTGAAAGGGTCGTTAGTTGACTCAGTAATGGAAGCAAGGAATATGTGAAGTTGGTGAAGGTGATTGGAGAAGGAATCGACGCGGTTAATTGCAACGATGACGACAAACAGCGGCAACTTTGTTATTTAAATATTTATATTATTTGTTTCCTTGAGCAAAAGCGGCAAATTTCGTTTCCAACAAATGTGATAAAAATTTGGTATAGAGTTGACTGCAAATGGTTGGTATACTTCAAAAAGGGTACGATGAACAAAAATTGAACCAATAAAATAAAAACCGCAAGAACAGTAACCAAAAAACCGAAACCGACGCAAAAACCGATGGTGCGGATTTTATTTTTTTGAAAAACCGAATTTATTGATGCGGTGCGGTTTTTATCTAGAAACCGAACCACCAAAACCGAACCGCACCGCAAACTTAGTAACAATAAAATAAATCACTAATATATATTATAGAATTATACATATTATTTAAAAAACTAATAAAGTCTAATTTATACATACATTATATATTGAACTTGACGGTAATTAGTAATTAGGTATTAAGTTTAATATGTGAGTTTGTCACTTTGTGTTTATAACTTAATGATTATGTGTAAAGTGTAAACACTATGTGGGCTACAACTTACAAGCTTGTAACTTCTAAGCGCAAATTGAATAGAAAAAATAAGTTTGGGAATATGAGTTGCAAATGAAGTGATCAAGTAAACAACATAAAAAACTCAAAATTACAGCTTCTAAATGTGAAGAAACGAAATGACACCATGACATACAATTATAAATCTTCACATGAACATCACGGTTAAAAATATCGTACCGGTGAAATTAAAAAACTGCACCATATGTTTGACTTGGTTTAAAATCGACACTAAACCGGTACAAACCGAAACCGCACTCAAAAACCGCAAAACCGAACCATTGAAAAACCGCAAAACCGAACCATTGAAAAACCGCACCCAACGGTTTCTAGAATTCAAAAACCGCACATTGCGGTTTGCGGTTCGGTTTGGCCCTAAAACCGCACCATGATCACCCCTAAAGAAGGGTGTTGCTAATAAGACACCTCATTGACCGCTTTATAAAAAATCAACGTATAATTAACTACTTATAATCAACTTTTTCGGAAGACAATACAATTTCAACCAATAAAAATATTTTAAAATTAAATTAGGGTGTCTATATGGTAAAATGTGGTGTCTTATTAGCCAACCCCTTCAAGAATCTTTCCACTTGTAAACATAGTCATTTTGGTTGTGAACTTAATGTGGACTTACTCATAGGTGTTTGAGATTATTTTTGAAATGATTTTTTTTGCTTTTAACTTTTCCAAAAAATAAAAAAATGCCAAAAGATGTTTATAAAATATAAAAGTTCTTTTCAAAATAATTTTTTGTAAAGAAAAAAAAAAAGATTTGAGTTTTCAAAAATGAGAACATGACTTGTGACTTTTATTTTTTGAAAACGGCGAAATTTTATAAAAAAAGACAAGGAGCCGCAACTTTAGCGGGGGTAGTATGAATCTTGTTAAAAAGTTTATCATTTCCAGCTCTTCCAAATACACCACAACCCTCCGTATAGGATGGCAAGAAAGATCTTCCTTTTTTGGGGACAGTTCCCCCACTTAGCAACAATATTCAAGGCTTCGGGGAACCGAAGAGAATGTGTAACATCCCGATATGATGTAACACCCTGTTTCGGATCGTTTCCCATTTCGGGGTGGTGATCAAGGATTGGGTATTAGCAGACGTAGGACCTTTGAAGAATTGAGATTTGGACTCATTTAGGGTGGATGATGTAATTTGGATGATCCGAGTGTTCAGTTTGTGTCGGGTTTTTTGGTAATATGTCAGTTCGGGCTTTTATGGAAATTTGATGCTTGTTCGGGATATTGTAAGGCAAGTATGAGTTGATTAAAGCGTAGAGCTTCTTTCTACCTTATCATGGTAATAAGGATCGGCAGAATCGAATTTTTAACGAAGAAGTTATGGCCTTCGGAGTGCTTAAGGGTTTAAGAGGAAACCCTAGTACGCGGGGCGTACCTAGGGAGTACGCGGGGCGTACTGATGCGAAGGGCAGTACGTTAGGCATAATGTGAAGTACGCTTAGTGTACTGTGAGCATTGGATCGGGGGTGTGAGATCTTGTAAGCTGGATGTACGAGGAGTACACAGGGCGTACGAGGGGTAAATGAAAACCCTAAATTTTTATGTTGTACCCTATATAAGCACTTTAAATCTTTAGGGCCGGCCTCTTTACCAGCCCCCAAAACCCTAGAAATCGTCCCTGAGCCTCTATGGTGGTGTATTTGAGCTCACTGTGTGCATCTTGGTGTGTTTAGGCTCTTATTCAAGAAAAAGGAATTTGGTGCAAGGTTGTGGATCAAGGAAGAGCTTATGGATCTTGATTATGTGCTTCATTTCTAGTTTGTTTGAGGTAAAAAGCTATGAACTTGATCAATGAGCGCTTAGATCTATTATGTATGAGTTTTGGTTTCTTTTGGCCCCAACAATGAGATCTAGTGGTTTGGTAACACTCCAGAAGTTATGAGTTGCCACTCTTGGTGTTTTTGAGGTCCTAGATTCATCAAGCTTTAGAGTTTGGAATTCCCCCATGTATGAGATTGTGTCAATTTGGTGAAAGTATAATGCTATATCTTGAAGTTGGGTTCTTTTGGGGCATGCAAAGTCACCAAGTCAGTGACTTTATGGTCCTAGACATTTGTTTGGACTCAAATCTGTGATTTGGACTTCTAGACTTAAGCATTAAGAGCTTAATGGAGGATTTGGCTTAATGGAGGAGTACGTTGGGCGTACAAGTCTGTACGCGCAACGTACAAGCCAAACAGCGAGTACGCTTAGCGTACAGCTGAGTACTCCCCGCGTACTCAGTCAGGATGGATTTTCGCTTGTTGGGCTTCAGTTTGGGTCATCTTTTGGGCTTAGTGATCTTGGGCCCTGTTGGGCCATCAGGTTTTGGGCTGATAATTATTTTGAGAAGGCCTACAATGGGTTTGGGCCTAATTTGGAAAATTTGGCCATGGATTGGGCCTTGGGTGGTTTTTGGTATTTGCGCCTTTTTGGATTATTAGGGTTGGGCCTAAGTCTTGGTCCAAACTAGGTAAGGGGTAAATTGGTCATTTACCCTAGTAATGGATTTATGGACATGGATTGGGACCCAAGTGTTTATTGGTGTTGTTTTGATATTGTCAGTTCGGGGATCAGTCAGCCAGCAGCCATGGATTTTCTGTGTGATTCGGCAGTGCGAGGTGAGTGTCCTCACAGTGTCTAGCGAGTCGAAGGCACCAATGCCGGCCCAGGGTTTGTTATGCTTTGTATGCTTGTTGTCTTCGTGACTCTTGCATGTGTTATGTGTTTATGTTTACCGAGCGAGGCTCGATGTCGGGCGGGGTCCGATGAATATATTCTATGCTAGTTATCTGTATGTGTTTTTATGATTACCGGGTACGACCCGATGCCGGACGGAGCCTGATGACCATTCTTTATGTTATGTATCTTTGTGATTATTGCATATGTTATGTATTCATATGTTTATATGTTTTATATGTATACTGGGTGGGGCCCGACGACTTACAGATCTGTATATCGAGCGGGGCTCAATGCCAGGTCGGGCCCGATGACAAGGCGGGGCCCATTATGTGTTTATTTGTGTATGTATGGTATGTGGTATGTTGGGGAACTCACTAAGCTTTGTGCTTACGGTTTTTAGTTTATGTTTCAGGTACTTCGGTTTTCAAATGGAAGAGCTCGGGATGATTGCAGAGCACACACCACATGTTTCCGATTTTGTGGTTTACTCCGATTTGATGATGTTTCGATAAATCTCGATTAACTTGGTTTTATGGAAGTGATATGTATTAACGATTTATTAATCTAAAAACGAAAATTTTATGTCATTATTTTTGGGACGTTGCATATGAGGTACTTCTAAATTAAACCCTTTAATTTATTTATATTGCATTTGGTCCCAAGTTCAAGAGATGTATGCGAGAAGGGCCTTAAGGGCATTGTTGTAATTTGGAGACCTTCGGAGTACGCCATTCGTACGTGGTGTACGTTGAGCGTACTAGGGGCGACGTACATCAGTGTAAGTTGGGCCTACTTGCTAAATGAGGAAACCCTGATTTTTAGGGTTTGGTTGGTATTTAAGCATCCGTATGGCCTCATTTCCCTTCATCTTATCAGCCTCCACCCTCTCATTCGTGTTTGAAGCCCTAGTTCACCTTGAGAAGCCATTTCTAGCCTAAAAGTGTGTGTTTGTGTGCTTAGAAGAAGAAGGAAGGAAGCCAAGCTCATCTTGGAAGAGTAAAGCATCTTGGATTTGGGACTTATTCTTCATTTGTAACCCTTCAAAGGTATAAAACTTGCAATTTTATCTTTCAATCATGTAGATCTAGAAATCGGTGTTTTAGTGATGCTTTTTGGTCCCAAATCTCTTATCTTGAGCATGACATGTTCTTAATGATTTGAGTTGTCCTTTCAGACCCTAGGAGGGGTCCTAAGTCATAAAAATGAAGTCTCAGTGGTTAGTTTTGCTCCATGCATCTTGTAAAAGGTCTTAATGGATTAAGACCTTGAGTTAAACACTTAATGGTCATGTAAAGTCATAAAGTTGGAAACTTTATGACTCTAGAGTGTATTTTAGCATTGGATCTAAAATATGGATGTAAGTGCTTAATCCATTAAGCACTTATTGAGTTTTGAAGTATGCGAGAGTACGCCCCGCGTACTCGTAGTACGCCCTGCGTATGAGGCAACCACTCCGATGGTGGTCGACTGTGAGGGTTTGGAGCACGCTCAACGTACCTTCGGAGTACGCCCCCGCGTACTCGCAATGGGTCAATCCGGTTGAGTTGAATCGGTTGGGTTGACTCGGCTGGGTTGACTCGGTTGACTTAGTGGGTTTGACCAGTTGACTTTGACCAAGTTTGACCTTAAGGCTATTTTGGGTATTTTGGGATTTTGATGGAAATTGGTCATTTGGTAGGAATAGGTGTCAGTTAGAGAGCTAAGATTTAGAGTCGATACCTCATCAACTTCTGTTC